TGAAATGTGACCAACTGAGGCTATTTAAAGCTAAGTGGCATTACTTTTAAACACCTTCTGGAAGCTGCAGTAATATTAGTGTTAGACTATTAGAAATATAATTTTTGTTGTTGGGCCTTCATTTTTCAAAAAGGATAAAATACAGTATGAAACTCATTTGATGAGGGGAATGGGTACAGACTAGTACAATATTCCCTGTTTTACACAGTCAATAAGATATTCAGCACAACTAGGGCACAGATGCTCTGTAGTTGATTGAGTAACACTTTCAGTAACAATTTGTAGGAATTACTATTGCTATAAACTGGTGCTATTAATCACTAATAAAAGTTATAATCAGTGGATAAAAGTTACCAAAACCAATTACTGCGCTATCCATCTTTTGAACAACTTGGGCCTGGACTGGGCAAGTGTTAGCAAAATTAGGTAAAACAGAAGAATCTTACCTGAACACTCCCAAGCTCTCCTGTCACCAGATCAGAGAACATCTGTAGGCTGAGCATATCCTGGCTTTCAGAGCCAAAGCCAAGACCAGATATGAGTGCCACATACCTGACAAATGATGAGAAAAATTAGTTAGCTCAGTTAGTTCAGGTGCCTGTCTTTTGGAGTGGTATGTCCAGGCCTGATTTCTGGCTGGACCAATACTTAGGATCTTAGAGTAACTGAGGAGATTGTATTGCCAGAGTGACAGTTCCAAGGGGAGGATCCCGGACCCCTAAATGCACTCATCAGACTACAAACATTAATTTTATAGAATTTACATACTGAAAGCACTGGCATTGAAGGGTTGCCTGTTAGATAGCTCTGCTTGTGACAGGTGGCAATGATAATCTGTAAACAAGTTGTAAAATTAAATTCTAAGGGAGAGCACAATTTATGCACCCCTCCAATGAAAATCCCTGGATTCCAACCCCCCACCCCCCCTCCCCCCCTTGCGCCATCGCGCAAACATCTCTATATTTTTTAGACTTCTCGGTAAGGGATAAAAAACTGCATGCCCAGTCTCAAACACTTCACAGATCTGAATCTTGTGGGATGTGAAAGCACCCTGGACCACACTACTAGGGACATAACAGATCACTGGGGGACCATTGCCTGCAAACCACCACCAGTAATAGTCAGTAGTGCCTATCTTTCATCTATTGAGGAAAAAGTGTCTTGGGTGTCTTGTCTACATTTCTAATTTTTTTTTTCATGCAAAAACAACTTGAAGAAGACTGACTGAATGAGAAACATTACATTAATCAATATCACAGTGACTGATGTCATTTTACCTGTCTTCACCCTTGGTTAAACACTGATCAAGGTTGGGTGAAGTTTGGTATGGAAGACCACTAAAACAGTACTCATCAACATGGAATTTGCCACTTTCAGTTGTATGGCCACAGAGAGCTACTATAGTTCCTAAAGATGGCAAAAAAAACATTCAATACTGTAAGAACAAACTGGAAGAGAAAGTCATAAAGGTTTTAATTTTATTCTTTTCCATTGCTTATCATTCCATAATGCTGTGATTCATTTTAAATCTTGGTTCAAATAATTTTTTTCCTTTGTTGCTGGGATTGCAAACTCATTGTCATATGTAACAGGGAGAAAATTACCACAATTGATAAGCCCAGTTTTACCAATCAATCATCCCATCATTTCATGATAATTACACCACTATTTCAACATACAGCCTTTATATGATTTAAACCTACTTCGTAAGGTTCCAAAGGGTGGTACTAGTCCATGGGGTCAAAACCCCAGTTTCTTTCCTTTCCACAGCAAAACACACCAAATGAATGTAATATAAATTCAGCAAATCAAGTATTGATATCATTAACAGGAGGATTAGATATTGAATTATTTTAAGTTGAGTCACCTGTTACTGACGTCCCGACTGGAATGTTACCAGTAAGAGTCACCCTCTCTGATTCATCCTCAATCACAAGTTCATCACTGTCATCTGCATATTTTACTCTGGATGGTTGAGGCATCAGGTTATGCTGTTAAGAACCATGAAATAAACTTAAATTATTGAAAATAAGAAGTCATTTTAAACTTCTGGGTGAATCCACAGTAACTGATTTCCTGGGGCAGGTGATATTTTTCAAGAAAAAGGAACATTTTCAGCCCAGTTGCCTTTTTACTAGGCAACTATCTTCCAGTTGTACAGGGAATTTTCTAGTGCTTAGGGTGTACATCAGTGATAACCTGTTTTAAATAGCAATGAATATATATTGAAACTCCCTACAAAGAGAATAGAGAGAACATTGAATACAAAACTTGTCCTTTCTCAACTGTATGATAAGCAGCCCATGTTCAGTGATATCCTTCCATTGAGACTATGTAAAAGATCTCCCAGTCCCTAAACATGACTTGTGTGTAACTCAATTTTTCTGCTCTTCTGGCAAAGCACCACTATTGCAAAACAATCCCGAGAAAGCAATCTCATTCCTAGAGGCTTATCCAACTCCTCCCCTGGAGGACGAGTAGGACAGGAACCTGGGAAGGATGTTGCCAAGAAAGAGCAACCATCCATTTGTGACAATGTTGTTTTTATCCTTATCATAACTGTCTGTCTTCTCGGAAAGTTTGTCAAAACCATTCAGTTGGTGTTTTAATAAAGTATGATAGCACATCTGGAGTAGAAAAAAAATTCTGCTAAAGTGGGAAAATAATTTTCCTTGGATTAAATTTGCTTCAATGGATTGAAAGATATTCGGCAAGGACAAATAGTACATTTTTATTACATTTTACTGTATTTCCACTTCATTGTGTATTTGCTTTTTAAAACAGGACAGGCAAAATTTTGGTAAGGCAGCGAAAAAAAAAAGTTGAAAAGCAGTTGTCCACCAGTGTAAATGTAGTCAAATTCTGAAACCTGATCTTGAAACAATGTGGAAAGTGTATGTGGCATATGACAAACAAAGGCACAGAGCCAATACCAACACTTTCATCCAATATTTTTCAGACTGTCTCGTTTTTGAAATCAGTCATTATCTACTTCTTAAACATAGCACTTCTTTAAACTAGGCACCTCTTCGCTTATCTCCTTTAATATACAAGGCTTGAGTTCCATTTTCTTGAACAGAGTTCCTATCAGGACACATTTCTCATTTCCCTTGACCTCAGCCAGTTTCTTCTTTATTTCAAACCTGTTACCTAAATTGGATTGCATAAAATGGAAATCAAACTTTTCACCCTTAGCTACACAGGGCCATTGAGTATATACAGTTGAACCTCCCATAAGGGCACTTAAAGGAAGTGGTCATTTGCAAAAATCGAACCACAGGGTGTCTCTTTCAAGAAAAGGTCCACACACATCTTTATTTCATGCAATTACTAAGTTGCAATATGAGTAGTTCCATGTTGTTGCTTAAAGTTCTTCTTATATACGAAGTGGCATAGTACAAACAGCGAACATAGAGATCAGACCATCTGTCAAGTGGTTGCTTACAAGAGGTGAAAAACAGAGGAAAATTATGGAAAGTCAGCCATGATATGTGGTAGTGGGCGCTTACAGGAGGTGGTTGTTTCTGAGAGGTTTCAACTGTAAAGCTTTGACTGGGAAAACTTAAGTGTTTTGGATAGGTGGTCACCTATGGAAGGTGGCTGCTAACGAGAGGTGGTCGCACATGGAAGTTCAACTGAATTGTACTTTGTTGCCAAATTTTCAGGTATACACTACTGTATTCTGCGTTAGAATATAAATTTTGGTAAAAGGTACCAGTAATTTTGCAGTTTGGTATTTCAGGACAAAGAAATCGGGTCCCAGTATTGGTATCCCACTACCCCCCTCCCCTCGCCCCCCCCCCCCCCCCCCACCCCCCCCCCCACCCAAAACAAACCCCCCTTTCCCTACACCCCCCGCGAAAGACCTCATCTGATTCGGAAGAACATACCAAAAAACAATAATCCTACAAATACAACAACATTCTTGATAGATACTCATCTGTTTTCTGTTTTAAAATATAAATTTTGTAAAAAGGAACCAATATTTTTGCTTTTTGTTCTTTCGGAAAAAAAAAAGCGGCCCCAAGTTTTGGTTCCCCCCCCCCCCCCCCCCCTCCCCCCCCCCCCCCCCCCCAACCAACCTGAAAGCGAAAAATTAACCCTTTTGTACATCAGCTGCGGCTAAGTACTACAGCTTGTAAGCAGCAACCGTGAAAAACAAGATAATCTTAAATTAAATACAACCTTCTCTTCTCAACGCAATCGATGTGACAGTCCGGTCATTTATGATTAAAACAATGAAGGCTTAAATATTTTATATATGATACAAAGAGAATGTTACACAAACCCCATTTTCTCCTGGCGGCTGCAGCCAACTTCTTCCTCATTGCCATAATACGTACTGCATAAATCTGAGCATACTGCCTTGAAAAGCTCCTCTCCTTCAATAAAAACCGTTCAGATTCATATGAATAAGAACAAGTCGCTCTTTCAATTCTCTCTACTTCTTCCTCCTCGTGATTTGAAGGTTCAGAGAGCAGCCCTTGGGCTTTGAGCTGGGTAGTCTTTACATCCAGCTCCTCTGCACTGAACATGTTCTTTAAAATTATTCTGTTACCCCAAGGTGTAGGCTAAAAGACGACTCAATAACATTTGACCAGCGAACTAGCCGTCGCCATTTTCTTTTTTCCCGGATAACTTTTCGCGCCAAATTTATGGGAGACGCCGCTGATTGGAAAACGTAAGGTTCGCTGAACACTACAATGGATGTATTACTTTGTCAGTGTTTGAGTTGCCGAAACAACCCTATTATTCTTTCAAACTAGCTTGATTTTCCGGTGACATTCCTAGAAGAATTTTCCTCAAAAATAAAAAGAGAAAAGGTGGAAAAAGGATCTAAAACATAATTCTATTCCCAGTTCCTCTCCTGCTCGTTTGCTCTGTGGGACTGGACACGAATGAGTTCAGAAAAAAATGGCGCGGAAATGAACCATGTTTGTTGGAGCTTCTTCTAAAGTGTTTTAATTTTCGTCAAAGAATCGCGATTCAAATGCGACAAGATGCCATCAGTTTCTAGGTCAGCTTCACCGCCGTCGAGTCCCATGAGCCCACCACGTAAGAAAACAAGATTCTCGTTAAAGCTCAAAAGCAAAAAGAAAGCTTCGAGCGAAAGCGATCCTGACAAGAGAGAGAAGTTGTATCCTATCTTCAGCCCTCCAACAGCCCAAAATGCGAGTGACGATGAGACATGTGAGCCCCCAAAGCCACCACCACCTTACGCAGGATTAAGGAATCATGGAAATATTTGCTACGCAAACGCTGTTGTGCAAGTTTTGCGGCATTGCCCGGGAATATTAGAGTCTGTTGATGAACTCGATTCACTTGTCAAAGAAAAAAACTATTGTGCGACAGAGGGGAAATCATTCGACACGAGAACAGACGGGAAAGAAAACGTAAGCAGTGGAGCTTAGGTTCAGTGTTGCATTACAAGATTAGGCTTATTTGCGATGGAAAGTGAAGTTTGAGTGCGTAAGGGGACGTGGGTGTAATTCAATACATTTTTCGTACGTGTTACTCTTTAAGATAAATCTCCATCCCCTTCCCTCTAAGTTTCCGTAAAGGGTAGATACACCACAATTATGGATGGGAGGGTAGGGTGGTGATGTAAAGTGGTCTCATTGTAGGGGAGGGGGGGCACTTAGCAGAAGGTTGTGTGAGGAGGTGGGCAATTTGTAGACTTGCCATAAGTTGACCTCTCATTAGTTCTTAAATGTGAGCTCCAATGAAGTCTCACAGTGACTGAGCAAGTCGCGAGGTCAACTTGTTTTGCCTGAATGGATTTGAATCACACTATAAATTCATGTGGGAAAAATTATTGGCTTATGCTGTGTCGGCAGTGGCATCAAATATCACTCACTCTCCTATTGGTTAATTGTCAAAATGTCACTGGTGGAAGTTTTGACCAGTGAATTTTGCACCAAATGGGTACAAAAAGAACTTTAAAATGGCATAACCAGCCAGGAAAAAAAGGACATTTAGAAAGTCTAGGCAATTTGGCTTTTTGTCAGAATTAACCTTACACCAAGGTGAATGCCTATTGTGCCAATGGTAATATTTTATTGTTATTGCTGTTAACACTATTAACATTATCATTGTCATCACTGGTATTTCTCCAACTGCTGCCACATTTTGTCTAACTGTGTATGAAATGCTAGCATATCTGCAGCTTATCTAATTTTTTTTGTATAGTTTTGCATGTCTTTTTTTCGTTCCATTAATGTACATAGCTTAATACATGTATACCATATTGAGTGGTTTAAACTAGGATCTAACACCAATGATGCTGTAATTTTGTCTTTATTTTTGCCAGGGTTCAGAGGATTTGGAAAATTGTTGTGATCAAAAACATGTTGTTTGTGAACTAAGAGAGGTAAGAAAAAATAACACTTACAACTAGTAAGGCTAAGCAGTCACAGGATTAGCCTTATTTTATGGATTCCCACTCAAACTCAAGGGAGGGCCATTTGCAAAACTTGGATTGAACCAGGTCAGATCAATTCTTTTAATGGGCCTATCTGTAACCTTTTTTCCCTAACCTTAATCCTAATCTTTTGTCTTACTACATGTATCACTGTTTTCGGTAACATTTTTTTAAAATTTTACAAACTGCCTTGAATTGCCTTTGCTACTTGTGGATTTTTGTGCGAAGTTTGTTTTTGAGATAAAAATCGAGTTGGAGTTTTTTTTGTAGTGACAAAAGTTTAAGGAATTACAGGGAGTGTATCTGATCCGGACAGATCCAGGTTTTGTTGATGCCTTTTAACTGAGTTTGAGTTAGTAACCCATCTACATGTGGCTTTTGGAGCAAATTTCAATTTCAGTGGTGGGTATTAGCCTATTTTTGACTTGAATGTATCACTTATATACTAAATAGTGCATCCTTTTTCCTTCTAGCTTTTCAGTCAGATGGAAGAGCTTGAACAGGACTACAATGACAATAAAGAGAACTGTGAACATCTTGTTCAAAGGAGAAACACTTTAGTTCTTGCTGCAAAACCTTTGGATTTCATGCAAACCTTCAGGTAGATGCTTATACATGTATCATGGTTATTGGTAGTGAAAATTGGTTGTTTTTTGAAATTCATTATACATGTTTACTTAATACAGTTACAAAGTAACACCATTATACTTACAACATAAATGACACACCACAAATGTGCCGATAATTTTCGTGTTGACTATCAGCTCATTTTTGTTTGACACCTCCGTTAATCACACAGTCACATGGCTATTGTCTCATCAAACACATCAAAAAATTGCCATAAAATTTTTAAAAATTTTCCTTTCTTTTACACATAGGGGTAAAAACCCATTGTTTGAAGACAATCTCCAACATGATGCACAAGAATTCCTGTGCAGTTTGCTAGTAGATCTTCAAGACACAGAAACAGAAATAAAAAAGAAGAGAGAAGATCCACGAAAAATGTACATTGGTGATAGGCACGTGAAAAATTCTCCTTCTGCGAACTCCTTCACCAGCAACACAAACCAATGCCATAGTAGTTTTGTAGATTTATTTCAAGGATGCCTTCTACACCAGACCAAGTGTATGACTTGTGAAGATGCAAAGAAACGTTTTGAGAGCTTTCTAGACATTAGTGTGCCAGTTCAAGATGAGCCTAAAGTGCGCGATCTGAAGGCTTTCTCACCAACACCGAAGAAAGGCCGAGACACACAGAGCTTAGCTTGGGCCCTGTCGCAGTTTGCAACAGTAGAACATTTGAGTGGAGAGAACAAGTATTTCTGTGAGAACTGCCTTACTCTTACTGAAGCTGAGATTTCAGCGAGCTTTGATAAGCTGCCAAGAATACTCACAATCCACCTCAAGAGGTTTACTGCAAACGCACTTTCAGGGTAAGGATTTTGTGCACCCTTTTCTTTCCTGAGGTCAAAAAAGAAGGACCTTTCTTGTACCCTCACAAGTCTTTTTAGAGATAAGTTGTGCAAATGTATAGATCTTATGATCATGTTCCCAATTCTCATAACCTGCCTGCAGAGGCTGATTTTAATCAATTACACATTTATTAGAAATTAAAGAGAATGATAGTAATGATCGCTTCTGGGACTTAGAGAACAGCATTTAATAGAAGTTGCACATCAGGCGGAGAAGAGAGGTTGCAATAAGTTACCCCTCACCTTTTTTGCTCTACTCTCCTTTTTGCACCATCCTTACTATACATACACCTGGAACAGGCCCAAAAATTGGAGGGTTTAATTTGCAGGTGCACAGGTGTGACTAACTTAAATGTCATGAAACTCGAACCCTCATACTAACACCATCAGTCACACCTGTACTGTAGCTGCACCAGCTGCAAATTAAACCCAGGGCCCTGAAAGGCATTTACAGTGGTTTAGTGTTCTTACCTCCCACCAGTCCCCGGTAGTTTAGTGGTAGAGCATTTGGACTAGTAAACAAAAGGCCATAGGTTCGACTCCTATTGCAAACACTCAGATTTTTTCTTCTGAACCACTTATGCCTCTGATTGATTAACGTCTTTCTCATGGATTCACATGAGTACGAGTAGTTACCTGTTTCTTGTCCTTCCATTGACCAATGGTGCAATACATCAATAACTTTACCCTGATCAATGATTCACTTCGAGACAAATCAGTATAATCATTGAGAGATTAGTAAGGGGAAACATGAGTGATGTGTATATTTTAAATTGGCAGATTTTCTGGAATGGTCTCCAAGATCACTTCAAATCTCGAGACACCAATGGAGCTGTCAGTCAAGGAATGGTGTTCAAAGACTTGTTCAATTGCCAATCCAACGTATCATTTATTTGGCATTGTGATGCACAGTGGTATGACCTCATGTAGTGGACATTACCAGGCTTACGTTAAGGTAACCACACCCACAAATGCCGATGTAAATAACAACAAAGGGCAGCCCATCCATCCTGACAACAAGCACCATGTTAAAGATGGACATGTACATAGAAACATGGTATCTTCTGGGGAGTTTGACTGGAGTCAGATGCCTGCAAGTGAAGTCAATAGAACTTCAGATGGTTGTGACACTTTGGCTAGTGACAGAAAATTAGTGGAAAACATGGACATGACCAATCCTGAAAATGACATCCATGCTTTGGAGAGTCCTGCAGGGAAAGGTACAACAACATGTATGTCTGGGATCTCAAGATACTTTCAGAGATCAAGAAAGCACCCTGTAAAAGAAACCAATGAACAGCTGGATCAAAATGTTGATTTACCAGTAGGTGGCAAGAAACAAGCACATCATATTACACCAACCCACAGCTTAAAGAAAATCCAGAGTTTTGGGTATCGAGGTGCAAAATCCAACAGAAGTGCAATTCGGCAGCTAAACTTTCAAGAGAATAAACAAGATAATAAATTACAGAACACTGTTTCTATTAAGGAATCATCAAATTCCGTTGAACAGAGTTTACAGCTTGAGAAATCTCAATGGATTCACTTTGATGATGCTGAAGTCATGATATTAGAGGAATCAGATTTAACAGCAATGCTGTCTTCAGCTGAGTCATCATTCACTTCGCCATACTTGCTATTTTACAAATTAGCTGAACAGTAAATTGTTACATTCAACACATTCTCTATGACCTTTTAACATGGAAAAGGCATTACAGAGGAATTCACCACCATGTGGGTTTGAGTGAATTCTTCTCCCTATTTCAGTTACCTGTACTTTTTTAATGAAACCATGAATTTATTCACAGAACATTGCCCTGGCCTTCTTCCTCATAGAGTATTCTTGTTGGAGAAAAATGAACCCAAAAAGTGAACATCTACGACTACAACCTATAACTTCCATGATCCTAATCAAGACAGTTTGTAAGTAAGAGAAGTTTTGTAAAACAGAGTAAACAAAGTGTTTCTGTAAAGCACTGGTCTGGACAATGTTCTTCATGTGACCAGAAGGTTGCTTGCCAAATCCAGGTAAATTTAAGCCAAAGGAAAACAGCCTAGCTACACTCCTGCATCCCGGCCAATGTTTTAATAACAATTGGCTATTGTTAAGGAATAATACGTTCGATATTTCTTATTCTAAGATCTCTTCCTGAATCCAGTCCCAGGATCTAAGTGCTTTCTGTATTTATTTAAAGGTTATGATAATCTTGACAAGGTTAGGCTTGTGTCATTGTGTTGACACAGGGGATTAACATGATTGCTAGTACACATGAAACAAATATGAAAACAAGAAATGCAGCTATCATAAATACTGGAATACTTGATAAATTTGTAAAATAACAATATTTCTGGCCTTTGCAGAGGTTCTTATGTGGTGGTCACATGGAAGAATCCACTGCACTATTAGTGAGTACAAATCCTTAGAAAAAATTAAGAGTTGGTAAATGAGTTTTTACTTGTCACCCATGCTTATCACGCCATCAAACCTCTCTGCAAACATACCACTACTATGTTTGCCTGTGAAATTAATAATTCTTTATTATAATTATTTTTATTATTTTTTGTGACTTACGCATAAATTTTATAAAGTTTGATAGTATTAAAGCTATATTTTATTTGAGAGGTAGTACATTGTTTGTGTGTAAGGATAGTTAACTGTATCAGCATTCCAAAAGTATGTTCGGGTGAATGAATCCTGAATAGGAAAATGACTACCGCACAGGTTGTCGAAACGTCAGTCACTGTCAACAACAACAGTCCTATTCAGGACTACGTTCACCTGGACGATCAAACTCAACCTACTTTTGAAGTGACTCCTGGGTTCAAAACTCCCACAGTTGTATCAGCATTACTTGAAACTTTTCATAAACCTAGGTTGTTCTAGGCTCTCAGTTACTGGCATTCAGCAAATAGAAAACCAAGTGCCAAAAAAAAGGGAGAGGAAGGAATGGAGGGCTGTCTCTCACTTATGCCTGCATCTTAACTGACTGAGACCCTGGAACAGTAGTCAAACCTGGAATTGCATAACACATTTAAGTCTCACAAAGTGTTTCTAGTATATAAAACCCTCTATGAGGGAACATTGGTACAGTGATTGACATGATGCATACAGATTTCCAGGAGTTTCCAGTTCTAGAAACATGTCTTGATTTACAATTATTATTTAGCAAGGGATTTCTTGATAATATAACTATTTTGTAAGATGCAATTTTGATACATGTGCCACGTTCATTCCTATCTTCTAAAATGCACTAATTATTACTATGTTGCCCAGTATACACCTAGAGACTTTTCAGATTAGATTCTTTCAGTTACTGGCAAATTCCAGGAGGTATTATACTGCTTACAGTCCACCTTTTCTCTAAAATCCATTGAGTGTTTATCCACAGTGAGTGCATAAAGAAAAAAATGTGCTCTCCCAAAAGGGATTAGGACAAGATCTATGAGTTCTTCTTCCTCGGGCTTATGCCCTCATTTATCATGGATTGTGGCTTTGCCACTCATCACTTAGGTGTGTGTTGGGTGTGTTACCTCTGTAACTTTTGAAGAAGATAAGAGAGAGCTTGCAGTCTAAAGGGGTATAATTACCCAACTTATCTACATAGATACGTGTCACTCAATTGGGTCGTGATTTGTGGGCACCTTTATCTAAAATGATGTACACTGTATCATACGGCAGAGATTCTTTAGAACAGGCTATCACATTTTGAAGCTACAAAAGGTTAAAACTAATAATAATCAAAGGTTACAGAGCGTGGGCGACAATGATCTAAGGTCAAACGTTTTTGCTCCAATGCAGTGCTTTGCGTAGGTTTCTGGGGACAGATGGTCAAAACACACGTCATCAGATTAAGAGGGGTAGAAGGTCAAAATGTGCATGATCAAACTGCGTTCTTAGTGGAAGTCCAAACAAATACTGGCTACACACATGTGACGCATGCATAATAGAAGTGAACATAAGACAGCAATTTTCTTTTTCTTTTTCTGAACTTCCATACCCTCCTTTAGAATTCAATTCCAGAAAAATTTACCATCATTTGCCAAATTGAATGAGATGGAATAAAGGCGATAAAGTTTGAAGTAGCGTGAATATACTTTTTTAAAGACGTTTTTGTATCCGTCGCCATCATTGTTGCTTAAGCTCCCTAATGTCCATATTGAGGAAGTTTAAATACAGATCTCGTGGTGAGGCAATATCAGCACCATAATGGACAAACTATCCATACACTTAAGTTAAAATAAATGATAGACATAGCTGCACTTTGTCCATTACTGATACTCAATTTCTCAAACTAACTAACAGCTAAAGTGTAACATTGCATGCACAAGCTCAGTGTTTTGCTTTAAATGTGTCCTTATCATGCCTGAGATGTCCCATAACATCAACTGGATCTGATTTTCCTGCATACCTCTTAACACCCTCCTCCCTACAAAACAACAACAATTATCACAAAAACTTAGACCTCTTTCAGGATGCGCAACCTATAAACAATAGTCTATGTGCCTTGTCACAATAAATTAAGAAACAGCTCATTTTTATAACTGAGTAAATTTGTATGATCCCTAAATATTATTCCATGACCACACTTCAGCAAGTTACTCATTGAAGATTACTGTATTTATTCAATTAGGCAACCTGGGTGCTTATTAAATTGTTGGTCCTGGAGAGTGGGCGCTTATTTGAAGTTTGCACAAGTAGTAAGTTAATTGTCCAACAAAACAGTAAATAATAACAAAACGTAAAAATGTGCCAGAGCAGAATTTTAACTGCTCATTCAAAGTTTGTCAACAAAAAGAGTCAGAAGTCAGTCTTCAGGGAATCTTTTAGTGGTATGGTATCATTCAAAAGTAAGTTGACATTTCATTGCAAGTCTAGATTCTCAACTCAATTCTTGATTTCTAATGAGAATCAAGAACAAGTTATTGAGAACTGAATCAGGGAGCAAGCCTTGTGAGAGAGTAAACAAAAGATTCACCCATGACTGATCTCTTGATCATTTTACATTGACATACACTAGTACTGTACCTAGTCAATTTCTTTCTCATTAATTTTAGTATAAAAGATCAATAAGCAAACTATCTGGTGATATCTTGTAGATGTCTCACAAGGTAACGTCTGAAAATGGGTCAGTCGACGAGAAGCAGATAGGGTGGCTAAGAAATAATAATCAAAACTTTTCTCATCCACTTCATCTTTTTTGGGGGGAGGGGGGGCGCATAGGGGAAGGTAGTGGGAACTTATTCGAGGCTGGGCACTTATTAACTTTTCCTCCCTACAGGATGGGCACTTATTTAAGGTGGGTGCTTAATTGAAAAATACAGTATATTTAAACATGTTTTACAAAATTAATGAAAAGCTTTTGGGATCTTCTTAAAAATTGTAATTCATTTAGTATACGGCCTTTTTAACCCCTTATGGAGGAAAGTTAGTGTAGAAACAGCCTTGAAGCAATTTAGGTAACAGTAATTTCTTTCTTTCCTTCTTCATTCTCAAAGAAATATAAAAAGCTCATGTTATCATGACCATAGGACAAAGACTAAGAAACTAAGAGATATTTCTAAAGATATTGTTATCATTATCACTATTAGTAGAATGTATTATTATTAACACTAAACTGTCCATATTACTTACTGGACTCTCATGAAAGGATTAAACTTAAACTCATCTCCAATGGTAGATGGTACTGTTGGCACATTTGATTTCCGTTTGTTCTGCAAAATACATTTGCAAACCCCAGAATTCTGTTTAGTTAGTTAAATTTAGTATGTCCACTTATTATGATTTAGAGACTAGAGGCATATCTTACCTTTGCCCACTCAATTGCTTTGTGAATTTCAGCATTATCTGGTTCAACATGAACTGCATACTTCAGATTGTTTTCAGTGTACTCATGACCACAATAAACAAGCTGCCAAAGAGCCAAAATACATAGCTACCATTAGTTGTTTTGCTAAATGTTTCCTCAAAATAAAAATAAAGCATACTGTAAGTCAGTTAACCAAGGAGACTGCTATGATAAGAAGCCTAATAACTCGAACTCTCCGCCAACTCGAACTAAGTCCAATTTCCCTTGGATTTCACCCCACTTTCCAGTCATTTTTACTTGGTTAAGTCAAACTCGGATAACTCAAATTCACTGCTGACTCGAACTAAAGTTCCTTTTCCTTGATCAAAAAGTCACAGAAATTTACTTGTGACGAGTGAGGCTCGTGGCTAGGTTGCAGGTAGGGCAGGAATTTGGGCTGTTCTTGCCACCTGGGTTAGGGGTCGGCAGCTCCAGCCCCCAGGTTCCTAGGCACCCAGCCTCCATATGCGACTCAGGCGTAAAACTGTGATGATCTGCTCTGCATATATATTAACACCATTTCCTTGTATGGGTACAGGTGAATTACCCTTAGCTGTTTTTAAGGTTAGACCAACAGTTACCTACAAAAATTGGCTAGGCTACCAGTTTAGAATGATAATGCCATATTAATACATCTGGGATGTTATGGTCACCTTTTATGCAACTATGTGGCAAACATGATCCTCTACATGTACACTGTACACATGGGCAGATAGCATGCATCTTAAGGTTCCTAATGGTATACTTACAGTATCTTGTGGCAATTTTCCTAGGATTTCAATCAGAGCTTTGTACATTTCAGGTGGACGACCTTCAAAAAATTTACCACACCCAGCAACAAATAGAGTGTCACCTGAAAGGTAAAAGGGTAGTGTCTGTAGAGAAAACTCTATGTATTACAAGTCACCTGATAACAGTTGTCTACAAATTTAAGGGAACTGAGTTCTGTACCCAGGATTTTAAACAAAGGTAACAAGTCGTCATGTCTTCAACAAATTCTAGTCTTTGCCACATTCATCCACAACTATAATTAGGTGGATGAATGTGGAGTTTTCCAAGAATAGGAAGGAAAAAAGATAATTTTCAAGATGTTTCCCCACATTGCCTGGAGAATGTTAAATTTCCATCCTAAAGTGTGCATTTCGGGACATAAATATCTCATTTGCAACTATAGGTATTCAAGCAAGGAAAATCCTTTTTGGGATAAATGAAAATATCTAGGCTTACCAGTGAACACAGCATTTGGTTTCCCATTAACCACATAGCAAATATGACCACTTGTATGGCATGGAGTGAATAAACACTTGACATTAAGATTTCCAATCTTAAAGGGAAGTTACCAAGAGACATTGAGTTAAGTCACGTCTACTTAATTAGAAAAAAATGAATACCTACTACTTTAAGGTAGGTTAAGACTTACTGATCACGAGTCAGGAACTTAATAAATAATAATTAAATGATAATAATAATGAATCTGCCCTGACCCTCTGCAAACCCCAACTCCTCCCCCCCACCATCTGCCCCTAAAAAAGAGAGGGAGCTCAAAATCTCTGAAACAATCCAGGTGTCCAACAATTCTACTTTTGTGCAAAAACTGAGATAAGACTACTGTTATAATCACTAAAAAAACAGTGTTCTGACAAGGATTTCATACACGTAGGGTAAAAGGGTAAAAGGGGGTCATGAGGGAGAAAAGTGGGTCACAATTTTTGTTTTGTTTTTGTTTTCCTTCTTTGCACCCTTGGAACCCCCTGGGCTAATTATAGTGCAGCATTTCCCGAAAAAGGGTGGCAATGCCACAATGTGGTAAGAACACTGTTAAACCACTTGTGTATTAAAAACACTGTAAACCCCCAAACCCTGGCTGATCCCCCTTAGAGAAGTTTGTTCATAGAATAAAACGTTACATTGACTTGACATTATACCATGACTAAAAAACTAGATAAGCAGAGTCAAAAGGTTAAACTGCTTGCTGCCCATGGTGGAGGAAGTGGGGCGAGTTGGAAAAGTGGTTTAAGAGTCAGCTTTTCCACTTATAATGGGGTACTGTGATTAGAAAACACTTGTGCCGGTAACCGGGTCCCAGCGTCTAATGAAACTCCAACTGCAAGCAATTTTAATGTGGAAGTATGTTTTCTACATGGGCCTGACAAGAAACAGTTCCACAGGTGCATCCTACTAGAGGAATGTATCATTGGAGAAGGAAAGTAACCGTACCTTCAACTGGTCTCCATGACCAACTTTCTGGTTAAGTGCCCCAATTCTATCATCACCACCACACACCGTCAGTCCCTTCACAAGCCCAGCTAGCTCCTCATTACCACCTGCATGATCCCTACACACATTAAACATTAGGGAAAAAATTAACACTTTCATAACAACTAAAATAGGTATGTGTTAGAGACCAAGCATAAGGTCAAGATGGCGAGCTGGATGTTGGCCAAAGTCAAGATAAATAGAAATACAAAACAAGAGATAAGAACAAGGTGAATATCCAGCCAGTAAAGGATTTATTATAAAGCCAAAAGAACTTTATTCTTGAGATCAAAGTAGGAAATACTGAATGGAGAGGAATCCAACATCATCAACCAAAAACCATAAAGGCCATTTTAGAAAATTAATATTCACCATCTTTTTTGATGTCAGTGGGCACAACAAAGAAAAGCAACTTCACCTAAGTCAGTGCATGGTGACTAGGTCACTTTTCATCATGAGAAACATGTTTTCATCAGCACAAATATGTTATCGCTTGCACTGTGCATGCGTGTACAGTCCTTGTGTTTGAATCAAATTTGAGCTGGAGTTGAAGATATAAAATTATGATGACTTACTGTTGAGAAATAATATCTGTACCCGTTGAACTCAGTGTGGGGTTTCTTGATGTTGGGGAATCCATTGTTGGTTCACTTTGGTATTGTGGTATGAGTATTGTTCTGTGTCTTTACTATCTTTAGCATTACAGTCGAACCTCCACTAAAGGCAGAACTGTCAACACCCCATGTCTTTAAATATTGAGAATTGATAGGGAAGGGATGATAGATGACGTCATAATGTTCAGCACATGACATCGTTTATGCAAAAAAATACTTGTTGACTCCGATCATTACGAATTTGCGATGACACAAAACGTGCAAAAGAGAGGTTGTTGGCATTGTAACATTTGACCTGATTGGTTTACTTCCCACCAATCACATTATTGCTTATATTACAATGGCATACCAGAGTCTTTTGAGAAAACGTTTGATGAATCATATCCATTATCGTACTAAACATCACTATAAACCGTATTTATGGTGCTCACTATAAAGCTTTAACAATATGCATTAAAGTGCTCGGCAATCCGCTCACTTTAAACTCTTTTAAAACAAATATCACTAGTGGTATTTATGCCAAATATCACGTACAGATCATGCTATTAATTGTTTATACCACACTCGCAAAAGGTTTGTAATTTTCACATGTAGGTATTTCAAATTTAGCTGAAATACCACTGCTCTAAGCCAATCAAATTGCAGAAATTTCTCAAGTAGTGGTATAAACAGTTAAATAGCTCAAACAACGCAAAGTATTTGAAATTTTATTTAAGGAAAGTCAAGTCTACAAGAAATGGCAAACTTCGGTGATTATCCTTGAGATTAATATTTCAGACTCTAATCTTGAGTCTGGGAGATACGGTCCAAAATCTGGAGTCTCCTGGATTATCTGGGAGAGTTGACAGCCCTGTAAAGGCCACCTCTCTACAATGGCCATTTTTTCGGTGGACAGTCCATACATTCACTCTTGCTTCAACTTCTCTACAATGGCTACTTTCGTTCTGTCCCCAAGGTGGCCGTTGTAGAGAGGTTCAACTGTATATCAAATTATTGGTGATTGCAAATGTCCACAACACCAAAAAACTACCACTCAGTTTTCAAGTGAACATTAATGGGATACTAATCGGTGCTGACTCCCATGCAAGTGTTCTTTCGGCTCATTGCAGAATAGAATGTCTGTATGGAAAGCTAGTTATAACAATACAATGCCATATAGGATGTTAGCACTTACCAATGATGATGGGTGGTCAATACTGTTGTAAGTTTAACTCCTTCTTTCTTAACAGCTGCAATGACCTATAAAAAACTGTGTCAGAATTAGTAATCCACTTTTTTTTTAAAGAGAAGGCAATGAGAAACCTGAGTTCTATCATCAATGAAAGGGCTTCATGCAAAAAACTTCAAGGGAATGAAAAAAATCAGGAAGAATGCCCAGGGAAGGGAATATTACAGTAAAGTTCCAAAATTAACGACCCCTCAAAAGTAGCGAACCTCCAAAAGCAGCAATGAAATGTCGCAGGTGTTAGCAAATCCTGAAAGTAGGGATCTCCACGAAATGACCCTCCAAAGTAGAGACCTCAAAACTAATTTCCCTTTTTTGAGAAAAATAATGGATATGATAGATATCCAGAACAAATGCCACACTGATCCGAGGTTTGCTAATAATGATTATTTGACGTTCCTATTCATAACTCTTAAAATACGTTACCTTTTTTCAAAAAGTATTCCTTTCACATTTTTTGCAATTTTATTTTTTGAAGTGTCCATGTGGAGTACATGTTTTAGCCATCCAAAAGTAATGACACTTCGAAAGTAGCTATCTGAAAGTAGTGGTAGCAGAAGGGTGCTACATCTGATAGTATTGTGGGTCGTGACTTTCAGAACTTTCAAAGCTAGTCAGAGCTAGTATCACAGCCATAATTCCCTTTTTCTGTTTGACATACATCCTGTATTTTGGGCCATCAAAACAATTCTTTAATAGAAATGTCATTCAATATACAGTGTAGTTATGAGATGTCTTTATAAGCAAAATAATGATTACTTAAAGAGACAGAATGCCTTTTGGCTAAATAACAATAAAAAATTATGAACAAATCAAGTTTTCAAATCACTCATATTAATTTATAATGGTTATAAGCCGGTCTACACTGTTCACATTTGATAACTTCTTTTTGGTTACTACTGCTGCTGTGCATATAATCAATGACCTAAATGATCTATCAGTCCAAAAATGGAGATCATGTAGTTTGACTGAGGAGAAAGAAATTTCTTAATTAATTGTTTAAACTTCAGGGTGTTCAGAAACAAATAAAAATATACCTTTTTAGGTTCTACTGGATCAACAATGGCAGCTTCTTTTGTGTCCTCATCAACAACAAGATACATGTAATTATCAGAAAGTGCAGGAAGTATATGAACCTTCATGTCAGAATGTGCAATGCTTATTGGTGTGGAATGACTTTCAGTAAGTAAGGAAAGGCCTCTTTTACTGATGTGTCCAAGAATTCCTATAAGTAAAGACACCAAGTGTTAAGAAAGTAAAGATACTGTGGGAGTTAAAAAAGTCACATTACACCAAAAGCTTCCATCATAATTTGGGGTGAGTTGCTCATTGGTGCAGGTCAATGAAATAAATGCCACTCTCTTAGACCTGTATTTTAGTAAAATACAGGTCTAAGCATAGGTCACCATGCTTGACCTGCAGAATGTAAACTAAGCTAGGATAGGGTTTTTAAAAATATTGCTTATGAGTCAAGTCTTGCTGGCTTTGTTATGTTCGTGGCATACATGCCAACTCTCTCGAATTATCTGGCAGTCTCCTACGTACACCAACAATCTCCCGGTCTCCCGTACGGGTCACCGAATCTCCCACTTAAAATCGAGTTATGAGCTTTTCTGTGCTCTAATCTGGAATTTATCCCATTTTCTCCCAAAATTCAAATTTTTTTAAATTCAAACTTCGGTTTCTGGGGCATTTTCGTACGTATTTCATCACTGACAAAGAGTTATTTCACAATTACAATCATGAAAGCGAATTGCAATGGTCTGTAACTCATGTAATGTTCATATAATGTCCTAAGCCAATTAGGGACTGCATCGAATTGTGATTATGGGGGGGGGGGGAAGTTAGTCATTGATATTCGGGGGGGGGGGGG